GCGGCGCTCGAGACGCGCAACTATCAGGATTACGAGATGCTGCTGGTGCGCGCCCAGCGCCCGGATCTGATTATCGAGCACTACAAACAGGAGTCGCTCTTCGACGACGCCCTGCGCATTGCCGAGGAGCATTATCCGTCGGCCTTGAACGATCTGCGACGTCTCCAGGCACAACAGCAACGCGGCCAGATGGGTGAGGATGCCAGCGCCGACTCGCGCGCCTATTTGCAACGCGCCGCCGAGTTTGCCAAGCGGGAGCAATTCCGCAAAGCAGCCGAGTGCCTGATGCAGATTGACGCCAGCAATGCGGAGGATGCGGCCACACTGGAGCGTGCTCTGTTGCGTGCCGCCGAGATTGTCAATCAGTTTCTGGAGGGCAAAGATGCCCAGGAGCTGGCCCAGGCGCTGGGACCGCGTCTGCTGGCCATCAAGCAGATCGGACCCGCGGCCCAGCTGTATCTGGCCGCCGATATGCCCAAGCAAGCGGTGGATGTATTCATACGGGCCGAGCAATGGTCCAAGGCACGACGCCTGGCCAAGGAGATCGATGCGGAGCTGCTGGCCTACGTGGAACAGCAGCAAAAGTCACGGCTCAAGCACGAGGGCAACGTGGAGCAGCTGGCGGACATTGACATCATCAGCGCCTTGGATCTGCTGGCCGAGCAGGGCCAGTGGCAGCGCTGCCTGGAGAAGGCCAAGCAGCTGAGTCCATCCGTGCTCCAGAAGTATGTGGCCGCCTATGCGGCTCAGCTGATACGTGCGGGCGACTGCATCACCGCATTGGGTCTCTATCTGAGCTATGGGGCGCCACCGATCGAGGAGCACTTCAACATCTACACGCGCATTGCCTTGGATTGTCTGGCGCTGCGCGAAGAACAGTCGGAGGGCGGCGCTCTGTGGCAGAGACTACGCAATTTTCTGCACGGACTGCTGCAGGGGCTGCGCAACTCGGAGCACGGCCAGGCCAAGTTTACGGCCAATGCGGAGCAGTATCTGTTGATCGCCCACTACTATGCGACGCGCGCCGCCTGCAGGCAGGTGCCATCGCTCCAGCCGGTGGCGGTGCGCATATCCTTGGCGCTGCTGCGCCACACGGATGTGTTGCCCGTGGACAAGGGCTTCTACGAGGCGGGCATGGAGCTGCGACAAGCGGGACGCGAGTCAGAGGCGTTTATCATGCTCAATCACTATTTGGACGTGTGCGAGGCCATCGAGGAGGGCTCCGGCAATCTGGTTGACCATACCGACTTGGCGGCCACCGATTTTCCCAGCTCCGTGCCGCTGCCGGAGGACATACACCTGAAGAACGAGCCCAGTCTGCATGAAGAGGTGCGCGAATGGGTGCTGGCCGTCAGCATGGATCAGCAGGTCGATCAGCTGTTGCCAAACGATGATCGTGGCCTCTACGAGTCTAGCCTGGGTCCAAACGATATGCCCTGCCTGCTGAGCGGCTATCCGGTGCGTGGCCGCCAGCCGGTCACCTTTCAAGCGTCCAACAGTCAGGTCAATCGCGATGTCTGGAGCAAGTTCGCGGTCGCCGTCAAAATGGCACCGGCCAGCAGCGTAACCGACATCATTGGCTTCGTGGAGAAGTGGCAGGGCGTGGCCAACTACGTGATGCACTAAGGTCACACACTGATGCACTGATGCACTGATGCAGGCAAATAAATATTGATGTGCTCTATTTAACTGTCAATAAATGTTAATTACAATCAATTATTATTATTTCGTTGAAAGTGGCTCAAATACATGCGCACTACGGCCATTATAGTTGATATTTAATATATATTATGTAAAAATCTAGGATTTGACTCAGCACTTATCAAATGTTGTCCTCGATACATCTGGATGTGCTGATGTTCTGTTGTTATTTGGGCATCCAAAATTTCGGGAATCCAGTCAATGCAGTGTATTAAAGAGATCGCCGGCTGAGGGTAGCGGTGCCAGGCCGCCAGTTACGTCTGGCAGCTGTGTCAGATCTGGCAAATTGGATAAATGATCGTGTATCTCTTTTTGCAGGCCCAACATCTTTGCCAGCTTCTTCTTGTGTTCCTGCAAATATACATATACAGAGCAAAGAAGAGCGCGTTAGGCATGATGCAGGGGGTTGGGGTTGGGGGTGCAACTTAAAAGTTTAGGTAGGAGCGTTTTTTCGAGTGGGAAAATGCAAGTATATAAATATATATATATATATATTGGAAATGGACCAATTCGAACATTTAATGCAAAGCAAAAGTAAATTGTTTTTCGTTTATAAACATTTTGCCAATCAACGTACATCCAAGCGCTGCTCAGCCTGAGCCAGCAATTCCTTTTGTTCCGCCTGAAAGTCCCGCAGCATGGCGGCCAATTTGGTGCGCTCCTCCATTTCGGCAGAGAGACGTGCATTATATTCATTCAGCAAATCCACGGCTTCATTGACCTATAGACCAAAATGAGAATGCTTAGTGAATGCAGGTAGTTGGCACGATTCAAGACTTACCTGCTTGGCCAAGACCTTGGCCTTGTCCTTATCCTCTAGTTTGGTAATGCAGCTTATTTCCGATATCTCCGGCGGCAGCTTGGCGATGCGTTCCCGCACCAGCGCATCGCTGGACGCCGAATTCTCAATACTGGTCAGCGCTTTGATCAGCTCCTCGGGCTCGGGCGGTTCGCCCAATGGCAAATATGGTGGCGTATGCCCATTTTCCGCTTCAGCTGCTGGCGTCTCAACGCTGGCGCTCTGATGATGCGATCCACGCGGTCGCTTTGATTTCATGTGCCGCTCCTCGTGTTTGCGCTTCTCGCGTTTCTCCGACCTTTCCGCTTTGTTGCCACCGCTGCTGCTGCTGCTGCTGTTGTGGTTGTGCTTGTGACCCGCAGCAGTTTCACTACCATTGCCAGCAGCATTGGCTGCTGTTGCGGCGCTTGTCTCGCGGTGCATGCGCGCTCGGTAATCGGCAATGGCCTTGGGATCGTAGACGCCGCGCTCTTGCCATATATTCAGGATGCGTCCCAGGCTGCCCAGCAGCTTGTCCGAGCTGCAGGTTTCGCCAATATGGGCAAACACTTTGGGCAGCACATTACTGAACTCCTTGCCGTATTCGGGGCCCTTCTTTTTGCTGTTCTGAATGACATCGTTGGCCAGATACATGAATGTTAGTTTCTTGGGCTCCGGCACTGCGAACATAGATAATGAATGCTGGGTGTACTGAATCCTGCGCATGCTAGCTACATACCGTTCTGTAATTCGCGCTGCCAGGTCTGCACTATGACTGTGTGGTGTTTGCGGTGATGTATAAGCCATAAGGACAATGTTTGTATACTCTGCTGGCTGGGGTTCAGTTCCGACAGCTTTTTGAGTAGCGCGGATTCCGTAAACGCTGACATTGCAGCAGCTGTGAAACTCGGGCAAGTTCTATTTATATGGCGTACTTTATTTTATATGCAATACGAAAAAAAAAAGGACAGAAAAAATACGCACGGGCCGAAAAACAAAAATAATTAAATCTTCTTCTTCTCGTGTGATGATAACAGCGGCAATTATTTAACATTAGCTCTGACTGTTAAATAACAGTGACCAAGCATTCGTTTCTGCTGTTACTTGTGTTCCCGGCATAACCAGCTCTTGAACAATTTCATAAACAAAACTAACACTAAAATAAATCATATTATTGAAAATTGCTGTTGCTTACATGAGGTTATCTAATAGAAAATTTAGCTTTACACTTGAAAAACAGCAGCTGCTCAAACACACAACATAGCCAGAACGAAGCTCGCAAGGTAATGTTAAGTCCCGGAATAATCGATAAGCAAACTGTTAGATCAATTAACAGAATGTAGGGCTGCCAACTCAATTTATGCTGGACAGTGCTACCTGACCGAATACAGATATTCACTATTGGCGCGTCTTTTGAATTTTAAACATGTACTTAATACACATAGTAAATGTACGCGAAACATGTCTCATCTCGTTAAAAAAAAAAAAACACAAATATAATTAATCAGCAACAGTAATGCGAACAAGCTTAACACTTTGCAGCGCGCACTTCACACCGATAAGCGGTTCAAACAGACAGGTGTGATAGCAATGCGTCGCCACTCTTGCCACCAGTTGGTCGCAGAAGTTGATCGGTGCGAGACTTCAAGTATTACAGGTGCGCAGCGTGTTGAATATATAGAGCACAACCGTAAAGCGTGTGCCTCAGCTCAGTTGAGCAGCAATAGCCGTAACCGTCGCTGGCAATCGACGACGCTTATCAGCTTTGCCAAAGAGTAATTTGTGATACCTGTCCGTTTTGTATTGGTTTGTAGCAGCGCGACGAGCTTAAGTGGTGTTAATTTTTATTAATTATTATCGTGTTTATTGCCAACGAAAGTGAAGTGCGTGAATTTATTTCAAGTGGTTGTGTGTTATTAACCAGGCAACCACAATAAATAACATATCTATCCAAAATCCAAGAACAATCAATTGCAACACGGTCCAGTTTGCAACTGCAGCCACAGATAGGGCTTTACAAAATTCCTAACAGGGTCTATTGGTGTGTGTATTGATATACAAGTGTGTGATTTACAAGCCATTAGCGCTATCAACAACACATTAGACAAATTGACAAATTAGCTGGCGTACACTCTTTTTGCTTAAATATTATTTTGAACCACTTTTGAGTACGACAAACGATATACTTGAATCAGAGATATTCTTACATATCCCAAATAATCACACTAAATACGAACACTCACCTCGCTCAGTTCCACTCGCTAGCTCTCTCCCAGCTGCCTTGATAAGAGCCCCCTTTCCGAAGAGTTCCGTCAATCGTCTGGCCGACCGGCTCTGACTCAATGTTTTTATGCCCCAGCGCGTAGTGCTCCCAGGAGTTTAATCTGATTGTAAAAATATCAGACTAGTGGCTGACTCTTGATTGCGGATTAAAGGTTTTTCCTTGCATTGTTGTTGTTTTTTTTTTTTTTTTTTTTTTTGTTGTTTTAAATTTGTTTTTGTCAATGCTGGCCAGCAAAAATGTTAAAGACTTGAAAGATAACGAGCAAGAGCACCAGAATGAATTCACATGATCGGACACATCCGTTTCGCTCGCATGTCGAGCACGTCCAGACGGCGCTCAACGAAAAGAACTGGGAATGGTCCTTTCTGGTGGTAAGCAAGAATCCTTAAACATAGAGATAGCAATCCTCCAGCTTAATGCTGTTTGCCACAATCAGCGCAAATGTCGCAACCTGGAGCTGGAGGAGTCATATGAGCTGTATATGCGCCGGCTGCGCATTGGCTATCTGTCGATATTCATCTTTATCGAGCTGCTGGTCACCTTCACCCATGCCCTGCTGCTGTTGACCTCATCGGATCTGACCTATGCGTATATTGATATGGTCGCCTATGTGGTCACCGGTCTGCTGATTTGGTTAATACTCTCGGTCAACTTTCGCAATGAGCTAATTAGCAAGCACGGCTGGCTGATCTACGCCTCCTCCTGGCTGGCCGTCTCCATCCTGGTGCTGATGGGTGCGTTGAGTGCAATTTAAGACGAGCGTGGGTAATGATAATCCTTTGCTTGCAATTCTCCCGCACAGATATTGGCCTGAACATCTACCATGCCACCACCAATAACGATATACTTAATCCCATCTACGATGCCTACACTCTTTATGCCATCTACATGTTCATGCCCATTCCATATGTGCTGCAGCCCTTTATACTCGGCGCCGCGGTTACCATCTGCTACATAATCAATTACAGTTTTGTGATCACTTCCAAGGAGGAGAACCAAATGCATAGCATATTCAAGTAAGAATGCCATTCGAAACAAAGTAGCTTCCTTTTCAATCCTTGTTTCCAGTGAAGCCATCTACCTGAGCTGCGTGAATTGCCTGGGCATCTTCTTCCGACTGATGCGAGATATTGCGCTGCGCACGACGTTCCTTGACAGGCGGCAGTACGTGGAGGAGAATCTTTTGTTGCGATATGCGCGGGATCAGGAGCGCAGTCTATTGCTCAGCATATTGCCCGCTCAGATAGCCGATCGTCTGCAGGAGGATGTCCGGAATCGCATCGAACGCTCCAAGCAACAGCATCAGCGCAGACCCGGCTTCGATCACGGCCTCAACAACAACAGTCAGGCGTTAAAGCGTTGGCGCCAGCCGGATCATGGGTAAGACTTGCCATGCCATCGAATAAATATGACCCTTCCCTCTAATTCCACTCTTCCGGTTGACAGGACACTCTTTATCGAGCCACACAAGGACGTGACCGTACTCTATGCGGATGTGGTCAACTATACGCATCTGACCACAACGCTGGACGTGAAGAAGCTGGTGGAGGCGCTGCACGATCTGTTTGTGCGCTTCGATATCGCCAGCGAGGAGTACAATGTGATGCGCATCAAGTTCTTGGGCGATTGCTACTATTGCGTCGCTGGACTGGCCAGTCCCAATGAGGATCATGCCAAGTGCTGTGTCGATCTGGGTCTGCGCATGATCAAGGACATACGCGATGTTAGGTGAGACAGTCCATGGTCATGGCCCAGCTATTAATTTCCACGCTTCTCAGGGAGAAGCGTCATCTGAATATCGATATGCGCATTGGCGTCCACTCCGGAGATGTGCTGTCGGGCGTAATCGGCGCTGCCAAATGGCAATTTGACATTTGGTCCAAGGATGTGGACATTGCCAACCGACTGGAGGCCACCGGCGCCACGGGACGTGTCCATGTGAGTCAACAAACGCTGCGGCTGCTGGACGGCGAGTACTTCTTTGAGGATGGCACCGAAAAGGCACGCGAGGATCCGGTGCTGCAGAAGCACGACATACGCACCTTTCTGATCAAGTCGCTGCGCGTGAGTATTGCCCACGACACATTGACGCCGTCAAGATGAAATGAATTACACAAAGTCGAAAGTTATAGGCCCCCATGCATGATCCGCGTCGGGTGCAGCGCGAGCGCCAGGCCAAGAAGCTGAGCGAGGCCAGCAAATCGAATTTCATGTACAACTCGACGCTGCAGCAATACAATCAAGTGCGCAACCAGGCCAAGCTCGAGATGTGCCGCGAGCTAGACAAAATGCCCATCGGTCGTATACAGTAAGTCAGCTGTATCTACATATATAAAGTCAACTTAAACTTACCAAATATCATACGGTGCTCCACAAGGATCACCAAGGTGTGCCGCCGCTCCAAGAACCTCACACAGGATGAAATCGAGGAGGAGACCTTTCGACGCAACATCAGTTCCTTCTGTTTGCTCTTTCGCATACGCAACTGGGAGCTTCAGTACATACGGGAACCGGATGTGATGCTCAAGTATAGCATTGCACTGGCCTGGTTTGTGTACATGTGCCTGCTCTCCATACAGCTGCTCAGCAAGGAGTGAGTGCAGTCGCGAATTTCGTGCTAATCCAATCCATTAATGGCATTTTTTATACCTTTTGTTTAAAGCGCCCAATACCACTACTGGGTCATCGATGGCATCACCATATTCGTGCTGACGACACTGCTGATCATCTCCTGGTACAAGAAACTTTGGATTATGTATGCCTCCGACGCGGAACAGTCGCTGCCTCAGTCCAAAATCAGCCTACTTTTCTATAGAATGTCCGACTGTATGCAGCGCAGCATTATAATACGCCTTGTTGTCTACTTTCTCGTTATTCTATCCTATGGTGGCGTGGCGACTATGCAAGTGGTGGGTATAATATATAAAACACTTTTGGCACAATTTAATCTATTTCTTATTGGCTCAAAGTTAAATTACTTTTTACTTTTTTACACGTGTTAAAATTAAGCAACAGTGGCAACGCCGTAAGAACGATTAGGCAGGGACGTTATTAAGACTAACTGTAAATTGCAATCTTTGTCCCTTTACAACACTTAAAGCTTGTGGAATGTTTTAAATTTCTGCTTTTTGATGAGAAAAATATTCTTTGTTCTTACAAAATGTTAAGCATTTGTTGTAATTGTTTCATTTATACTTTACAGCTAGACTGTAGATCTACATCCATTGAGGATGAAACAATACCGGGGGTTAGCTTTGAAGAGCGCTTACAATGCTTTCATCCTTGGGTAAGCCCGCCAATTACATACATACATAAAAACAATTTTTGTATATGACTTATCTCAATCCGCTAGATCCTGACCAACTGCATGACCCTAGTCATTGGCACATCCTTTCTGTTCACGCGCATACCCTTCTTTGTGAAGACAACTGTGGCGGTGGTCATCACTGGGACCTACGCGGTGCTGGTGGTCTTCGAGTTTGATTATATCTATGCCCTCAGTCCCTCGACGAATGTGAACTTCAATGCCGAGTATTCCCACATTTTGCTCATTTTCATAACGCTGGGCATATTCCATTTGATGGAGCGTCAGACTGAGTTCATAGCCAAAGTGGATTACAAGTAAGTCGTTTAGCATCTATGTTCAGATTTGCCTGTCTAAAAGCAACAGCAATTGGCAGCTGGAAGCGGCAACTGATGCAGAAACAGGACGATGCCCTTATCACCAATGACACCATCAAGGTGCTGCTGGTCAATATATTGCCCGCTCATGTGGGTAAGTCTATTCCAAACACAATGCTATAAACGAACCTAACATTGTTTTTCATCTTACTTTCTAGCCGACTTCTATTTATCCACGCAGCTGCAGAACGAACTTTACTACGAGGAGTACGACAATGTGGCCGTCATGTTTGCCTCAATCAAAAACTTTGATACCGATAAAATAGGTCTGCGTGTGCTCAACGAGATCATCTGTGACTTTGATGATGTGGTGAGTATGCAGTATAAATAATAAACCAATAACTGCCGCATTTTCACATTGCAGCTGAACAAATATGCGACTAGTATGCGCGTGGAGAAGATCAAGGTGGCCAACTGGACATACATGGCGGCCTGTGGCCTGGATGTCACACGTTCCGAGCAGGTCAATGCGCCCCAGGTGAAATTTCGCAACGTGTCCTTAATGCCAAACGGTCGACGAAGTCAGTACCGCAACTTGGGCTCTGAGCAAATGCAGCGCGTGCCTTACGGCAATGGCAGCACCATAGCTCTAGATCTGGAGCGTGGCCAGTACGAGGGCAATGTGATAAACGGTACGCCGAGAGTGAGTAACGGTGACAACAGCAACGAGCGAAGCAATGATGAGGTGGTCAAGGTTATGGCCAATTTTGCTTTGGATCTGATGCGTGCGATGCGACGCTTTAATGCTGAGAATATGCAGTCGGAATATGAGGGCAGCACGGACTATGGCATGCTACGCATCGGCATCTCACATGGCCGGGCCATGGCCGGTGTGGTCGGCATATCGAAGCCCCACTATGATATCTGGGGTAATCCGGTGAATATGGCCTCCCGAATGGACTCGACGGGCGTGCCAGGCAAAATACAAGTGACAGAGAATACGGCATTGAAGCTGCGCAATTTTAATATTCAATGCAATTATCGGGGTAACACGTTTGTCAAGGGGCGTGGCAATATACCCACCTATATACTGGGCACCGATGACGAATACAAGGGCTTCCTGCCCCATCAGCAGGTAACACAAGCACCTAGTTAAATAATCGATTTTTTAAGTATATTACAATTGCATGTTTGTATTATGTATATAAAATTGTATTAAACACTGTACAGATAATATAGAACGTGATGAAACTAACCCATATACTATATTATATGACGGTAATTAAAATGACCGTTAGAAAAATAAGTTCCTGCATGAAAAACTTTTTTATACAAAACAGAAAAACGCGATTGCTATTATTGCATGGAACAAGTTATTGTTTATCAAAAAATAAGTATTATTTATATGTTTATAGAAAGTAGTTGCAGCTTTCTTAGTCAATTTTAAGTGTGATAACTAGTACATGAGTCAAAAAAACCTTTTTGATCCAGCCGGACTGTCATGGACTCTTATAGATCGCATATTCAACATGCTGCAATGGATTCTGATGCAACAGACAATGAGCTGGCCTGTAGTAAAAGCAGGGAATGGGTTCACTTGCGCGTGAGTCTGTCAATAGACTAAACATACTCGAGTATAAACTGATCTGCAGTCTCACAGAAAAAATGCAAAGATCTGGACATGGAGACATGCTATAAACGTTATATCCAGCGCCTGACCGTGATCAATCTGTCGCTGTTTTTATTCATCGTGGAGCTGCTGTTTGCCATCCACATCCTATTTCAGTTTGCCTATTCGAAAGTGAGTCAAGTCCTTTGGCAGTGCTGTGCAGTTTAAAACACGATCTAGACCTTTGCAGTGCACCGTTAGGGTATCTATGCCATATGTAGTACTCATGGTCTTGCTGCCGCTCATACTTTTGATTTGTTTCAAGAACAAATCACACTATAAACACTTTACCCTGTGGAACAATCTTGCCAGCTGCACTGCCGCCTTGCTTGTGACGTTTATAGGTATATCAAGTTTGATTTGGGCATATTTATGTATACACTGGTCGCATAGTATTATGACTATATTGATGTTACCCAATGTTCGTTTGGCATTGGATGTGTAAGAGATTGCACTTTAATTGAAGCTCCTATCAAAACTCGCATTTCGTACTCTTGTCGACCTGTTTTCTACAGTACTCTGAACAGAGAGTATTGAGCAGTCGGCTCGAGCCGACTTCATTGTTCTAACATGTTATCTTATTCACGTTTATTGATCAGATACCTTCCTTATGTTCATGGTCGATAAAACTGATAAGCATATTAAGAGTTCCTACGATCACATCATTATAATATCGGTGTATTTTTTTCTGCCAATTGCCTTTTATGGGATACCCTCGCTGCTTGGCATCGCAGTGTCCGTTTTATATATTTTGTACTTTATTGTCTCAAGTTTATCCATTTCTGAAGAGCTGACATGGACCCTGCATGGCTGCTATGCCATCTATATAATCTCGCTAAACATGCTGATGGAGGCATTTCGCATTTTTATGGAGTTCCATTTAAGGCAGATGCTATTAAGACGTTACCAGCTGCTGCATCAAAACTTCCTACTTAAGGTCAAGTCAATAAATACATATGGAAACAGTTCTACAGTTTCTACTCTATATATATTTTAGGCGGCCATGCAGAAAGAGAAGGACATGATGCAGACGATACTCCCAGCAGATATTGTCGATACATTGCTGCAGGAGATCCACAAACGCATCGAGGACCAGCGTATCGGCACTCATTTTCTAACTCCACTGTTTGTATATAACTGAATGTCGAAACTCGATTAAATTTTAAATCTATTCGTAGCATCCTGTTCATAGAACTGCACTCGGATGTTTCCATACTGGTTGCTGATATGGTTAATTATACGCACTTGACCACAAGGATGGATGTGAAGGAAATCGTTAAGTTTCTCCATGACATCTTTGTCGGTTTCGAGCAGGCAGCAGAAAAGAACGAAGTGCTGCGCATCAAATTTTTGGGCAACAGCTTCACCTGTGTCTCGGGAATACAAGAGCACAGTCGTGCGCATGCCAATTCCTGTCTAGACCTCGCTCTGGACATGATTAACATGATGGAGACTTTACGTGAGACTTATGGCTTGAACATTGACGTTCGCATTGCCGTACACTCCGGCGAGGTGTTCACGGCCATCATAGGTCGCATCAAGTGGCAGTATGATATATGGTCGCGCGATGTGGATATCGCATATCGTTTGGAATTATTGGGCATGCCGGGCAAGGTGCATGTATCCCAAACAACGCTCGATTTTCTGCATAACGAATATTTCTATGATGAGGGCACCTTTCTGGCCAAAGAGGATCCTATTTTAAAGAAGGCAAACATTTTAACATATTTAATAGGCCCACAGCCGCGTAAATTTATAATCAAGACGGTCACCTATAGCTACATCTCAAGCTCAGAATATTCGGTCATGTCTTCATCGCGTGTAAATAGTGATAAAGATCTTGATACAGTCGGCGAGATTCGGGAAAAAACCCATGAAGGCATGCTCGAAAAGGTGGAGTGCATGCCCGTCGACGGGATACAGTAAGTGCAGCCCATGAAATTTACTTTATCTATATAAAAATATATATATATATATTTGCATTACAGACTGGCAAGGATTTTCGATTTCTCTTATCGAATTGACAGGGGCAATGAGGATTACATGTTTAAGCCGTACATTTCCTCGTTCTGGAGACTCTTTCGCCATAGTGAGGTTGAATGGAACTACATTAACGAGCCCAATTTACTATTGAAATATAGTCTGCTCATTATACTTTTCGTCGGCTTATTATTCCTTTTGCAGAACCTTATGCTGCCAAAGTAAGCATTAATGTAACTACATATGGGCGTTTCCAGGAAAACCAGCTTGATCACAAGCCAAAAAACTGGAAAAAACCGATCTAGCGTAATCTTATCAAAGACAACATACTTAAATGATTTTAATTTCAAGTATTGACAGCTATTGTCAATTATTCGTAAAAGATAATTTGCCAGAGATAATTTCCCAAGTGTGATTGGAATATGCAGTAACTTTGGATGCTTCTCCTGCTTGTAAAAATAATTTCTATATCTATTTTCTTCGTTGTCTGGTCGTCCTTGAATTGCCCATATGTGTGCCTATATTGAATTATATTTAATACTTTTAAGACTCCTATTGCATGTGAAGAACTACCTTCGTGTTTAAGCTGCTTTTATTACTCGTAACTTTAATGCTCATATGCTTCTTCGCCTTCTATAAGAAGATTGCGATACAATTCAGCAAGTCGCCCAATACATATCAGCCGAAATGCTTTGTACATCGTTCTCTCGTCATGCTGTCCGAGCTGTTGGAAGAGAATCTAACCCTGCGCATCTTTACGTACATTATATGCATAATCATAATCTATGCAATGGCGACCCTGAATACGGTAAGTCTGCCCATTATAATTCTTATTGCATATTGTATGTGTAATCATGTTTGTATTTTGAACTTTAATAGGTTCTGCTGAAGTTGGAGCAAATGCAGAAAAGTGGTGCCAAAAGCCAGCCAGACGACGATTTGGATAGAGAGACCTTCGAGCCTTGGGTGGGTAGTGCTGCATTAAAAAGAAACTCACATGATTTTAATGGATTCTATACAGGAGGCCACGCAAAATGTTATTATGGTATTTATAGCCATGTTTTTTGTTGTTGTTCCGCTGTTCTTTAAAGCAGCGATAATCGTCTTGATGTGCATCCTGCACATCCTTACCGTGCATACATTTTATACTAGTTTGCGTAGGGTGCAGACCACGAATATGGGCATGACATCGGAATTGGCGAGCATCTGGTACATACTGGCATTTACTTTATTGGTTCTTATCAAGGAGCAGCACGTTACATACCTTAAAACAGTGAGCTATCAGTAAGTATGGTCCAATATTGTCCGTCTCCACCCAAAAGGTCACGCTGCTTTTCCACAGCTATAAGTCGCTACATAGGAAGAAGCACATGTTAACGGAAAAAAGCAAACTGAACGCAACGATTATAATGGCCAACATCTTGCCCAGCCATGTGGTTAATTTGTTCCTGAATCGTGATGCGTCCGATGAACTATTTTGCGAGTCCTACGACAAGATCGCCGTACTGTTCGCAACCATTGTAAACTTTGAATCGGAAAAGACGGGCTTGCGAGTGCTCAATGAGTATATTTGCCTTTTTGATGATCTATTGGCGTACTACATACACAATTTTAAGGTGGAGAAGATCAAGGTCACAGGCTGGACATATATGGCTGCCTGTGGCCTGAAAGTAGATCCCGAAATGGACAGTGCGCTAACAATGCCATTGTCAACAGATCGGGCTAAAAGCTACAAGAAAAGCAAACAGAACAATTTTAGTAAATATGTGTACATACATATATAAAGATATTTGTCTATTTAATATTCGCTTTTTGCTACTTGCAGCTGAATATAGCGTAACCTTTCGGGCTCACCAATCCCGCTTCAGTCATCCGCTTTTGGAACACGATGACAAATGTGTCCTGACCCTGGTCCACTTTGCTGCCGACTTGCTGCGCATAATGCAGGATATATCCATACTCAATTATAGTATGAGCTATGTCGACTCCATGCCCGGACAACTGAAAATAGGCATCTCACATGGACCGGCTGTGGCTGGTGTTGTGGGCTTGTCCCGCCCTCATTATGACATCTGGGGTCACACCGTGAATATGGCCTCACACTTGGCATTCTCTGGTGTTGCAGGCCGTATACAGGTCACTGAACATACGGCCATAACATTGGAACGCTTTGACATCAAGTGTGAATATCACGGCAAAACGCACGCCAAGATCGTAGGCGAGATTCCCATGTTTCTGGTGGATATGGATGAGGACCTAAACTTTCAGTATGTGGATGAACTTTACTTGGATTCTTCTGAGATCGTTCACGCCGTTGGTCAGGATACGAACAAAGGCAATATCAACATATTATATATGGAACCATCAGGTAGCTCGGATGACGATGTTGAGAACAAGAAGTAATAGACTATAATTCAATTATTGTGAGTGAAGTAAGAGAGCCCTTCTAGGTAGGGCTGCCCGTCCTTGCTTGCCAGTTACCGCACTCAATCTCAATTTCACTCTTCACAAGAATAAAAGTACAAATTAATCTGCACAGTTAAATGTGACAAACATTATTTTAAACTTTAGATATATTACATATACATATATTTATATAGATATTCGTATAATACAGATGATCTGGAGGGTAAACATATAAAATACACATAATATATATAGATAAATATATAAATCATTTATAAATTATGTACTATTATATTTAAAACAATGCATTTCAACTTTAACATTTCGTATAGCATTTGAGAAGAACGAAAACGAAGCACCACATGGTTAATATTATCCCGTTTTTGGGGTTTGTTTAGTTTTGTGCACAGTTTTGAGCTTAAGTAATGATTGCAGCTGGTTGGTCAATAGAATTTACTCATTTACGGGACCAGAGAGCAGAGCAGTATCCTCCGGTAGAGCTTTCCGCTTATATGAGGGTTCCGTGGCCAAATACACAACGAGAGCACCAAAGATAACATACAGCACGCCAATTATGTTGGTCAGCACCGCAGCCGCGGGCAGTGTGGAATAGTTGGCACCCCTAGGCACAGAGAGTCGGTAAGTATTCGTCAAGTTATAAACTGAGTTAACCAAATAACTTACAGCGTAAAGATGGCCTTCTCGGTGAGCCCCATGACGGCGCTGGCAATGGCCAGGGTGAAGCCAAACAAACCGAAATATATATGCATCGGCATCAGGGCAATCTTGTAGTTCTCCCGCATGCCCGGCACCAGAAAGGCCATAAATCCCGCCACATACTGCAGACAGAAGATGATCACCGCTGACAGGCCCAGCCACGAGTGCAGCGAATACATATTGGGTATGGGCGGATCGACCAGATTATGCGAATCGAATACAGTCTTCAGGGCAATCACCGTTAATACGAAGGCGGCCAAGTGTATGCCAGCGTGGGTGAGCTTCAGTGTCTTCTTGCGCGTGGTGCGAAAACCGCGATACACGAGTATGGCTAAAAAGATTGCATGGAGTGGTCCGTTAGTGGCACCTTTTCCGGTCCAACAGCTACTCACAATTGCCATATAAATAAATAAAACCAATGGTCATAAGGAGTGGATGCCAATTGAACTCCAGCCTGGGATTGTCAGTGCCGCCCAGGCCACCAAAATGCTGCCCGATCCAGGTGCCAACCAGCACAATCGTTGTGAGGCCGCACAGCTGGGTCAGCACATAAAGCACCTTAAAGTTGATCAGCGCTGGATCCATATTGGACTTGTTGTCGCCTATGCGCCAAAAATAAACAAATTGTTTATATTAAGCAAATTAATCAATTGTATATGACGCACTTAAATACGACCCACAATTTGTTAGCCTGTCTTTTCATCTGGCTTTTCTCTGTTTGAGGTCAGAGATTTATTTAAAGGGTGCAGACTAAAACAAAAAAAGTATTTCAACTTTTCAACAGCTGTATGGAAAAATATCAAAAAATGTATTTTAATGAAATGACTCATTTTGTTTATTGTTTATTTTGAACATAGAAAATCGAGTGTACACCAATTTTCTTCTGGCTGATTTTCTAGTCTGCGTAGCAATTGACCCAGCGCTCTCCCCATAGCTGACACCTGATATCATAACCAATTCAGTTTAATTCAACAAAAAGCCAAACAGTAACAAGTTGTAATTCCAGCGATCTAGCGATAAACACAGCCTCGTTTAACAGCGTCGCCGGCAAACTGAGAAGATGTCTAAACAAAGCACCAAGCACGTTCTGATACGGACTATGTGTGTGCCCCACTACGATTACTAGATTACGCTCCCTTCCTCCATGCAAGCCAGTGGACCGGACTAACCTATAATGCTATACTTGCCGCACCTGCTATTGTAATTGTCTGTCTAACATTAGAAGACGAGGAGCAGCAGCACGGCCTGCATCTGTATCTCGGCTACGGACTGTCTTATCAGCACTCCATGTAAACATTGTCTAGAAGCCGTTCTCCACAATCTTCTCTAGTGGCAAAATGATACCAAATCGCTTTAAATAGCATTGTTCAGCGTGTATATATTGTTTGATGTTTGCAGAGATGAGGGGAAATTGGAAAACAAAAACAAAAAACGACGACAAAAAACGACGAAAAAATTGCAAATAAATTAAAAATTTCTGCGCTTCTTCGATAAATTGAAGTGTTCCCGTTTAAATTGAAGAGCGCTGGCTATGTGTGGCATAATAACTTTAAAGGTGAGACAAGAGTGAAGACGTCGATAATTAAATACGTTTGCCTTGGTAATGCTCCCATACGAAAGATCTAATGGAATGGAATGCATGCAATATAGTAGCCAGGTTATAGAAGACTGTCCGGATATCATGTGGTATATGAAATTTCAGCGCAGTTTCATGGAGCAACAGAAGAACCATATGTATATGTATGTGGTCTAGCCTAGTTAAGGGGAACCTTGGGCTTGGCCATGTTCAGATAACGTTAGTTTTTCAACCTGGTCTTATCAGTCGCTTGAATTGATGTTTTTTTCTTTTTTTTGTCTTATGCAAATGAGTTTTATTTCGCTATTTTTTTTCAATTGAAACTGATTGCAAATAAAGTCATGAATAAAGTGAGATAAGTGAAATGTGGCACACGCTGTATTTTTTTTCTACTTGTTGCCACCTGGCACGTGCCGCAGTTATACAATGAACAAATTTTGGAGCTCGATATTTTCGGGCATTGAAATGAAGAGCCCCATTTTAATGATAATTAAAGTGCACATTATAATTAATAGACTGTTAGTTAAACAGGCGTGCTGCTGCAGCCGGATTGTTGCTATTTGGTGATCAGCAAAGCGTTGCAACAGATCGTGCGCAAAATTTGAAGGTAATGGGCAAAAGAAAATACAAGCAAGCAATAAATAATCCGCATAAAAAGTAAAACTTTTTGAAGATGCGACGACGATGACTTTGGAAAAGCGTAAAAAGTTGAAAACGGCAAAAGTAAAATAAATAAAGCAGACAAAAAAAAAAACTGAAATGCTGAAAAACTAAAGTGAAATTTAAACTTGGTGCGAATGCGCACAAGACGTTGATGACTGGGCAAACACACAGAGCAGCGGGGTGGAGTGTGGGACGCAGATGAAGAAGGAGTACGAGGATGAGCAATAGTAATGCAATTGCAATGCTCTCTTTCGCGCTGCATACTTCTCTCCCTCTGTCTATGACTCTCGCTTATCCGCTATTTCTTCTCTGCATGTGTGTGTGTGTGTGTGTGTGTTTGCCTTTCTTTCTTTATACACTTGTCCGTCCTGTTCGTCCGGCTGGCTATTGTATGCGTTTTATTATAACTTTTACTAATTCGAAACTAAAACGTTGAGCCGCCGTGTTGTTGGCGAGCTGTTGATTTACTTTGAAAGCCAAAGCCAAAGCCAAATTTACTGTTGCTGTTACTGTTGTTGTTGTGGTTGTACCTTTATTTGCGGTCGCCTCGACGACGGCGGCAACCGTTGGCTGCACTTGTTCTACTATTGTTGTTATTGTTGTTGTTGCTGCTGCTGCCACTGGTTGCTGTTTTTGCTCCTCTGGCGCTTTGCTGCCTTTATCGACATTTGTTGCTGGCATTGCGGCTGCTGCTGCGCCCGCTGCTGTTGTTGTTGGTTCGACAACAGGCTCAGCTTTGACTTCAATCGAAGTCGTCGTCATTGTCGCCTGCGCCGCCTGCTCAACATCTAAATCCTTTGACATTGCGTGTTCACTCTGCACTTAAAAATCAATACACGAATCACTGGCTAATTGCACTTGCTAACAACTTGTCTAGTGTTGATTTGCATGCAATTGCGTATTGCTATTAACAGTAACTCGAAAGACAGTAGCACCGAGACACTACACGAAACAACTACAATATCACGAAAATCACAACCGTGCACCACCAAGTGCAATGCGCAACTGAATTCATAGCATGCGTTTAGCACAGAGTCCGCAGCGACGACACGACGCGTCGCGACGCTGGCAGCGCAGAGCTTTAGCAACAACAAAATTACTCTCATGCGAGAGGTAGCTGTTTAAAAAGCTTTGAATGCTTTTCGTATGCTCATAAAGTCTGGTAATTATTTAACTAATGGTTTAATTTAATTTTTTTTTTAATTTAATGCACATTTGAGAGCGAGCTGTGTTGGCTATATTAGCTTATAGAAATTGGCATGCAATTGGGCAGCTCAACCTTGTTGTTGGTGGAAGAGGGGCGTAGAGGGTTTGGACATTCCTTTGACTTTATTGAAATAGAATTTTTCTGAGCTGCATTTCAATTGAGATGTCGGCTAGCTAATAACATGTTCTATGCATAATAATTGCACAAAGCTGCTGACCGCACACACACACACACATGCCCAACACCCGCTCTTGCCGTGACTTACCCAGCGAGAACAGCATGGCGTATGCTTAATAGAATTTCGCTTGTTTCCTTTTTGCTGCTGCTGTTTGTTATGAATTTTAAGCGGCCTCTGTGACAACGTGCGATTTGAAGAGTTTTATTAAATGAAATATTAATTTCCAACTATTTTTATTTGATTTTTCTTGCAGCTGTCTACACTTGTTGAACAAATTGCGTTATTTGCAGGATGTCGCCTAGTGGGCTAGGAGTGTATTAAAACTCGTCCATATGGAAGCACCGAAAATATCTGCAAAGGCAGCGCAGCCTATGCATTTCCCCTGAAAAGCACCGCAAGCTGTACGCAAAGCTTTTATGTGAAAGCTCTACGTATCTAACGCAGCGCAAGCTTCATCCAATACATGCACACAATCTCTGCTAACCACTTGTTGGATATATTAATGATACACTCATTCTTTTGTTTATATTGCGACTTTTAAACATGGCTTTAAATTACAAAATATAACTTACGGTATTGTGTGCAAATCCGCTGAAAAGTGTACCAAGCGCCACGTTATTTGTTTTTTTTTTTTTGTTTTTGGAGCACGCGAGTGCCGAAAACGATAACACAAGAGACGACGCGGAATTAACCACAACTGAACGATCCAAGCAAACCACAATAAGAACGGCAGCTTCGCATCGGCAGCGCAGACGTCGGCGTCGGCAGAGAAAGCAAACAAATGAGATCAAACAAACAGCAATCATCGCGCGGCAATGCCAATGACCTACTATCAGAAATAGGCACTAGAAGTACATAGCAAAAACGACACAAGTTCAAGGTTACAATTTCCTTTGATCTGCTTAGTAATCGGCCTTTCTGGCCCCACATTTTGCATTGTTATTATTGTTTACTCATTTGGAAAAGGCGGCTGTATCAAATATCAGCTGGCTATAGAGATGAACGATATATATAAGTGCACCTGTATAAAAACTATCGCGACTATAAGCTTAATATCGCGTGCTCAACATATCGATATCCCTATGATACTGACATCTCTAACGGTTAGCAACAACACAAACTGCAGTTTAATTTAATTTTAAATTTATTACAACTAAATGCAACATGCTTTCCAATCTTATTGTGACCAATCAAAAGGTCATCCTTATAATTGGTAAGCACAATCAAACATACGCCAAAACACAGCGTTTATTATAATATTTTTCAGATCAACTAAATCGCGAACGAATCGCGCTAAAGTTCATTGGCAGCCTGCTTCACGAGCAGGGCGAGGGCAAGGAGATTAAGACACTGCCAATTGGCACGCAACTGAAGCACGTGGCCAGTTTCGAGACGCTGCTAAACGAATGCAACAACAATAACATTAATCAATTAAACCAATCAGAGCCAACAAAAACTGGCTGCAATATCATACTGCCAACGCTGGCAGATTTGCTCTGCTATCAGACGCCCGCCTATATCTTCGACTTCATCAATAAGTTGCGGCGCTCCGAGCATGTGCGTCGCGTTTTCTTGTGGGCGTCACCGCAGAACTTGCAGCACACGGACGCTGACTACATACTAGCCGGATGTGAGTATCTGGCGGAGTTGGTGCTACGACTGGAGACGGATACAACGCTGTCGCTGATATCGCGCAAGCCGGGCGGCGGCGTCACCAACAAACGCTATACGTGCCAAGTCAGCAAGACAGAGTTTCAAGTGACGCCACTGCTGGACGCTGGCGAAACGAATGCCTTAGCTGCTGCAACTAAAATAGAGGCTGCACACGAAGAAGCCGCAAAAGCAGCTGATCCTGGCGGTACCTTCAAGATCGAACTGGACGAGGATGAAGTTGTAGCGCGCAATGCGCTCACATTGCCATATGAACGGTTGGTTGGTTGCGTCCTTCATGAATTACTTGTATGTTATGCGACCTTTATATTGCAGCACCAGCGAAGCGGCTGAGGGCAACATCATCTACACGCCAGATGCCGATGACGATTTCGATGATGAGGATCCGGATGAGGATCTATTAATATAGAATGTGCTCGCACAGCAAACGGCAGTACAAATGGCCTTGGCTTTAAATATTTAAGTCTAACATACAAATATATAAAATGCATATAACAGTAAGCGAGCTCAAGAATTGAAATTCCGGCCAAAATGAAAATGAATCTTATAGTTGCATAGTTCAAAGTTTATACTACATGCTAGAGATATATATATATATGTCCAGTGTTACAATTGCATCGCATAGTTACTTAAACCCTAACAATTTGTTTGTAATACTCTTTTTAAAAACTTGCCCACACTCACTTTCACACTACAAACGACCGCAAGTCCCAATCTCATTCTCATTTTACATATATCACAACATTCTATAAGAAAAAAGATTTTAAGGTGCGTTCAAAGAATTTGTAGAATCTGAATTAGAGAAGTTCGAATGTGGCAAAGTGCAAAAATGAAACACTTAAGATTAAAACGGCAAATCCGATGCGGATGCCCTTGCATAGGCTCGATCAGTAAACTGAATAATAATGGATTATACTATATAACATAACCATAACATTGTAGATATTCTATCTAGTCAAACTTGTTATTATATACATTTTCACATTAATATCAAAGTTAGACTCAAAAGAAACAAATCGGTTTCATTCTCCATTAGGGCCTTGAAACAGTCCCATAAAATTGTTAATCTCAGTGTAAGCTCAGGCTACTGACATAACGCCAGAATAATACTAAACAATGATTTGCTGAAAGGAATACATAGAAGCGTATGCAAGGGCTAAGTAGACTATCGGCTGCTTTTAGTTTTGTGTGCGTTGAGCATAATATTGCAGATATCTGAGTTTAAAATTCTTATTTGAACTATGACATTTAAGTATTGAAACGAGTAGTAAACAGATGGTTAAAAAACCAACACACAGACACATGAGGACATTCACAACTATTTACACAACAAAATGAATAACTAAAAAATTATCAATGGTAGCGTTTTCGAAAATGGCTATAACAACTTTATATGACTCTGGCCTATTGTCAACGCTTGAGCAGCGCGTCCATATCGCTCTTGGGGTCCGCGGCCAGGGAGCTCCAGGCGGTGTCTCGACATAGCGGCAACTCGTGCAGCACATCAGTTCCATCCGCAATGCAGGTTTCACGCAACTGAAAGAATTTGCCGACCAGCACGTCTATCCAACTGTGCAATGGTTGGCCAATGAATTCAGCATTGGCCAATGCTTCTTGGCGCAGCGCAATGACGTCGTTCTCATTGGGCAGATGCTGCTGCCACTCCTCAGGCAACGAAAAGTCCTCAGGCAGTGACAGGGCTAAACCACCGTTTTGGGCCCGTGCGGCTGCCACAGTGTCCAGCGGCACACCTTTGGCATAGGCAAGCGGAGCGACTAGAAACTTGAGCTGCGCATAGATGGAAGTGCGTCCAATTAGCTTGGCTGTCCATATGCCCGGCGTAAGCGGCTGCTTGAGCAGCGTTTTGGAGTGATTGATAACATCGATTTGGGACTCCTCCACATGCAGCTCATTGAAGTCCTGCAGTCGACCCAATGGATCCAGCCAGAGCAGCGTCAAATTGTACGAGTGCGATGCATCCTGAGTGGCAGTCACACCCTGATATGTGTAGCTCAGCAATAGATCGCTGTGTGGTCCCAGTAACTTGGCAAAGTTGCGTGCCACCTGCTCCTTCTGATCGAAATCGGTGGAAACCTCAAAGTTGCGTAGCCGCTTGCTGAAGCGTGTATTTTTCGCCACTTTGCCGTGCTGCACGGGTCGCACGCGCGTCTCCAGCTGCAGCTCCCTGGAGCCATTTCCGCGCAGTACGCTGTAGCGCACCAAAAATCCCTTGTACTGATCCCGATGCAGGTAGTGCGTCAGCTCCAGCAGCCGCAGTGGTTCCAGTTTGGCCTGTTGTGCAGAGAGACGCATCAGGCTGTCGCCAACAGTACGCGCCAGATCATCGCCAGCGCCATGTGCATCCTCGTGATGATAGAGCGACTGCCAGTAGCCGTGCAGATTGGCATATTCGCTGGTGTACGGCCCGTAGAGCCACTCCTCAAGCTGCAAAAGCACCGCCTGATTGATAATCGGCTCGAATTTGCGCGCAAAGAATAGGGACTTTTGTTCCGTGGCCAGCAGCCGCGCCCAATCCTCCGGCTTAAAGTCGTTGGGGCTGCAGCCGCACCAGTCCACCACATGCTTGTATTGACACTTGCAGCCTTGCTTGCGCTTCCAGTTGGTCACATGAAGATTGTTGTCCACATAGCTCTGGCAATGCTGTGTGTTGCGCAGCACCGTGTGAAAGAACGATTCGGCTGGCAGCAGTGTGTGTCGAAACAGTTGCAACAGTGCCTGCAACAAAGTATCATCCTTTGCTGGATTTGTTACGTAGTTGACAAATGGACGGGAGAGTGCCACCCAGTCGCTGCCACCGTCCACCTGTATGCCGGCGGGCAGCTTGCGATCGCCTATGCGCCACATGTGTGTGTCGCACTCCACGAAGGTCTTGTCCAGGCCCTGTTTCTGGATAAAACGCTGCGTCTCACGGCCATGGCCCTTGACAAAGTTGCGGTCGCGATTGGCGCTCAGAAAGTCAACCAGTTTGTCCAGCGTCTTGACTGGAAAATCACTTTCACTCAGATTGATGACAAAGTCCCACTCCCAGTTGGACTGCAGCAAATCCTGCATACACTGCAGCAGCATGGTCAGCAGGGAGGCGCCGCCCCAAATTGTAGAGAAGCGCTTTCGTGCTAGACGTATATTGGAAAACTTCGGTTCCAGCTCCAACAATTTGCGGTAGAGATAATCCTGGCGCTGTGAAATTGGAAAATAATCTTTTAAGTTAATTGATAATTAATAGCCAAAGCTTGTTATTGGGTTATGTTGTGCTTGCTTGACGCAAAACTTGACAGACAGAACCAAAATATATACTATATATCATCATATCATATTACACTGTTCCTATACCTTCTGTCGCTTTGTGGCACATGTTCATATACTTGTATTATTCAATCTTAAATTAATGTAAGCCACCATTTGCTGATTTAACAGCGAGGCGTCAAATTCCGCTCAATTAGCACAAATTGTGGAATTCGCTTTAATTATAAAATCCGGCCGTGTCACCGTCTCGCACCGCTCACTCACCGCATCCACGTGTATGTAGTAAACGTGTTGGGGCGCATACAAAGCTCGGAGCAGTCGATGAACCTGTCGCAATGCACGTCCGTTGAGCGTCAGCAGAAATGCAATGCGGACACGCTGTTCCTCCCCTGGCGCTGGGCTGCTGGCGGCCAGTTGTGGGGTAAACTCTGCAAACAGATGCGATTATTATATAAGAATGACAATGACAATGTGGATGCACTCACTTGCAATGCCCGTTTCGTAGACATTCATGGCAAAGAAGCCACCACAGATTTCCTTGGCATTGCCCAAGCATTTCATGTTGCAGCTGGAGTCCGGCAGTTTGGCGGAGCTGGGCGGAGTGTCAAAGCCGCAGAAGCATTCGCGTGCGTATTGGACGCCCGCATATGGATAGCCGGATTGCAGGCAGAGCTCAACACAGCCACTGGGTGAATTGGACGTTTTGAAGCTGGTAAAGTAGCCGCCCAGCAGGCGCGATTCCTTCTCGTCGCGATAGCAACCCAGCGAAACATTGGCCGTATGGTTGCCCGCGGGACAACTACTCTGTAGATGTGTGGCATAGAAGCGTCCAGCTTGTATGGCACAGGCTATATGGGCGATATGTTGACGGCAGTCTTTCGTCTTGGCACGCTGCAGTGCCGATATTGCTTCCTTGGCATTGATATCACATTCGGGCTCAAAGCCCAATTCCTTAGAAGTGAGGCGGGCGCTCTTACTGGCCGCCTGGACATGAACCGGTGGCGCTACAGGTTCTGGTGGCGGCGCCTCCGAATCGTGCACATCGCGTTGTGTGCGCCGTGTCCCAGTCAAATCAATGTCAACTGATTTGTAGGCCAGAAACAGCTGGATGGCAATGATGAAAAGTAGTATTAAGTAGAATACGCGGTAGCGGCGCAACCAGCGCATGGATACAGACGACTGTTGCTCCATGGCCAGCTCGGAAGGTGCGCACGTAGTCTGTGGTCGTTGACCCGTGTGCTTATGCTTATGGCTCGTGTAGTTCTGTGGATGCGATGCAGTGGCATGTCCAGCGTTTATCTCATTAATGTGAGCCCTTAGTATAAATTACATGTACAAGTATTTACAATCGCTTAAATTATCTGCATTTCACTCAAAACACTCCCGCATTTCACTAAGAATACTGAATCAGTATTACAGACATCGTATGCGGCTGCCGATATATCGATACATTGTTTGCGATATTTGCATTTGCCATATATCGAATTTTGCTTAGGCGCGGTATGCTGATCACAGGTATTGGAAGCAAGCTGTAGCTAACAGCAGCAATCAGTTATGCCAGGCTTATAATTTTCAAACGAAAAATTTGATAAAAGGCCCATTGTTATTACTATTTACCGTAGTACGCCCTAAAGTTAATTATGAAGTATATGGAAATTGAAAATAATTTGTTAAAGGTAAGCTATAACTTTCATGCTAGAAATTAGGAGAAAAGCAAATCACGTCATGGTAGTCGTTCTTACAAAATGTTTGTCAAAGTATTGCAGCCCTGCTCGCAACAATTTAGTTTAAATTCTTCTGAGTTTTGCCTCGCTCTTCGATCAGCATACTAGCCAGTAAACAACAAACGTTTCCAAGAATGGTTGATCCGAATCGCAAAATAAACCGACTCTCGGACAGAGATGTTAAATTTTTGGATGAATGCGAATCGGAATTTGCATCACGCTACACAACAGACGATGCCGAATTTATGGCACATTGTTCTAAGCCAGAGCCGGAGCCGCCGCTGGTTGATAATTGGATGAGCGGCGGTGGTGGCGGTGGAGGAGGCAGTGGTGGAGGTGCTGATGATGGCTATACAAGTCCTTTTAATAATCGTTACAATGGCGGACAGCGCAGAGGAGGCGGCGATCGTGGCTGGCAAAGACGCGGTGGCGGTTACAATAATCACAACAGCAATAACGAACGCGGCTTCAGAGGTACGCAAATTAGTATATGTTGAAAATTCGCTTTAATCGCTTTTAAACCAACTGCAGATCAACGCCGCAATAGATATGAGGCTCGTGGTGGTGGCGGCGGCGGCGGGGGAGGAGACAGGACTTTAGAACGTTCTTATCAGCACAGGAGCCGCAATGAGTCACCGCAGGGCGGTTCGCCTATGCACGTCAGGCGCGACTATGGCAACTTTGTGCCGGCATCCAAAGATTAGCGTTTAGCTTAGCCTGTTTCATTTGTCATTATAACGCATTCACACACATACACCCACACACATATGTACATGTATATAGAGATGTATATTTCGATTTGAATGTTAAGCCCATAATGCGATTGTAATCTTAAATGCTAAATGATGCGTTCCTGTTTGTGCCCTAAACAGCTGACTCTGACAAATCCTTGGGTTTCTCATCGGTTGCCGCAGCCGACATGCCCACGCCCATGGCGGTAAATAAATTGGATACGGGTCCTGCGCCACCCATTTGGGATTTATAGCTGTCCATCATGTTTCGTAGCGTGTTAACATTTATATTAATTGGCTCGAAGTCCTCGATGTCATCGAAATCATCCTCGGCAGCGTTGTGTTGCGACGTGCTGGTGCTTGTACTGCTCTTTCCATGAAAAGACTTGCCCACGGTCGTTTGAGCCAGCTCGCGATCCATTTGCTCCATGTACGCTTTAATGTTGCGATCCAAACGGTAGTTATCATCGCCGCCACCGCTGGCATTAGATAGCTCATCGAAGTTGCGCTGAAGATCCTCCTCGTCCGCATAGTCACTCATCTCGGAATTGGAATCCCAGTTGTCCTCTGGTATCACAAAGTCAAGAAAATTGCGCACATGTGTGCTGTCCTGTTCGTCGGACTGTATCAAGGAGTTGCGCTTGCATGCCTTGCGCATCGAAGCGTTCTTTTTGACCTTGGCATTGCTGCTAGTTGCACTGGTTGGCGGCGGCGGCGGCGGTGGCTCGTCATCGTCTGAGTCCAGTTCATCGCCTGCCTCTCCCGGTGCTTCGATACCTTCGAAATTGGACTGCCTGTCCAAGAATTGAGACAGCTGCTTGGTAAATTCTGCTGCATTCATATCACCATTGGGATTATACAGCTTCTGGGGGCCGTAGCGCTGCTGCAGCATGGCATCCAGGTCCTCGGCGCTAATATTTAGCCAGTCATCCGCATCGCTGGGCAACAGATTGTTCTCTTCGTCACGCAGCTTCTCAGAGCCGCTGCCCTCCCCAGGATGCAATAGCAAATTAACTATTTCGGCGCCAACTAGCGGTGCAGTGCGAAAGCGCTCCTGGTTGCATTTAAAGTACTCCTTGGCCGTGGCTAGTAGGCGTTCATGCTCCGCACTGCCTTCAATGTTGTCCCGAAAGTAACCCTTGCCTTGCAAGCTGCGCAAATACGATCGCCATGCGGGCGATTGTTCGTCCAGCTGCTCGCCAGCACGCTTTGCCTGGCTGGCCAGTATTTCTAAGCCGCTGACTAGCTTCACACCAAGCAGCTGTTCCTTATAGCACTCAGGATTGGCCACGGCATCCGTCAATTGCCAGCCCAGACGGCGCTCTGGTGTATACTGGCTGTGCATTATCATGGCATACAAACATCTTGTGAAGGCCACATTTGTGCGTTTGCGTGGCGTTTCTGGCGGAAAATATCGCATGGTACGCAGCGCCTTCGTGTCCAAAGTGTCGCGTTCGCAGAAGGCGCGCACAGCTGATGCTACCAGACCTGGTCGTTGTTTGAGCAGCTGTGCCGCGTTTTGTGGCAGCTCCACGATTTGGCGATGAATGGATACATGCGGCTGTGCCGGTTGAAATTCGTGCAGACGAGCCTCAATGCAGTTCTGTATATCACGGGAGCAGCGGTATAGCGAGGGATTCAGACGTATACGGTGCACAGCAGTAGCCATGGACAGCGGCTTGTTTTGGATAGTGTTGGTCGAGTTCTGCAATAGCTGCAGCCCACCGTTCACAATATAGACACGTTGCTCGCACGTCTCCGGACTGGCCCAGTCGGGCAGAGCATCGGCGGCCTCGATGAGCAGAAATTCACCGTCAGCATCGCAAGCGCGCGCTATGCAATCCGGTCGAGAGCGGGTGAGCTCGCTCAAGAGATAAACAATGAACCACTCGTCGCCAATGTTGTCGCCATAATGCGTGACGCCATGCAAATGGGGCGGCAGCATACCTAAAATGAGCCCAATTGCTATAGCTAAATATAGGCGCATAAATAGTATGTACTTGCCCGCATGCTCTTCCTCCTCCTGCTTGTTGTCTTCCTCGTTGAGCAGGCGTTCCTCGGCACTGCCCGTGCGTGCTAGCAGCTGAAATTCATCCTTGTGCCAAATATAGCAGCGCTCTTCGACTTTCTTTTCCACAATGGACATGCAATCAGCACGCACCTGCTCCAACTGCTGACGCACTTGCTCCTCATCGTACTCGACACCGTCAGTTAGTTTGGGAAAAATATAGTACTCAACAAAATCGTCCTCGCGTACAAATTCCAAATTGGCACCTGGCAACTTATTCATTGTCTTTGTTGTCTGCCTTTGTTTTGGTCTCGGTTGGATGTGACTCAGTCTCTCTGCTCAACAGCGTGTGTATCCCTTGTGGGCACTGTTTGTTGCCACAAAAAAAGCAAAAAGTATATTTGCTCAATAAATACTTAACAAATGGCACTCTTGCGGACAGTTACAATAGATATTAAGAAAATTTTCATTTATTATTGGCGAAATAAACTTTTTATTGGAACGTGAGCTGTTGTTGATACCACTCTCAATGCTATCGACGAGTTATCGATAATCAATTATCGATATACGATTTTCAATAAATGAACTTTCTCTTAACGTTTATTTTCACTTGAATTTGAAAGAGGGACAGTGACTATATTATTGCATTAAATTGTACCGCTGAGGCAGAGCTTGAATATAAGTACGTATTTAATTTTTTACTTGAATTTGAAAAGGGGACAGAGACCATTTCATTGCATAGAATGAGGCAGAGCTTCAATTTGCAACTTAGTCGAGACACGTAGATGTATTAATATAGAGCACTTGGGCTGTTTTTTAAATGCTTTTTGAGCTTCTTAACTGTTATATGGAATACACCAAGTTTAGATCAATAAAAATAATCATATTTCTGGGCATGCTGCAACATCACCTCCATGGATTTCTTGCCCTGTAGCACGCCATTACGTTCAATGTAGTTCCAAATGGAAGCCATAAATAAACAAAATAGTATTACGCCAAATACAATAAACTTGAGCAACAGATAAATGGTTTTAAGTCCCACCGGCGGTGCATACTCAACGAGCAGAACTAGCAGAACAAACAGAACAGTTGCTGCACTATAATATAATAACCGGTCGGTGTTTAATTGCAGCAAGGAAGCATCGCACAGAGCCAGTGCCTCGTTCAACGCCGCCGTTCGTGCAGCAGGCAGGTGCTGAGCATTGGTCGAAGAGCTATTGTTCTCGTGCGTGGCAGAAGCGGGGGCATGGGCATCTTCTTTAATCGCATCTCCGGCGCCCTGATCCTGTAACGTACACACTTCTTCAAAAAGATTGCACTCCACATGCTCCGTATTTACGGTAATCTCTTCTGCTGATTCGGGTTCTTTTGGCACACGGATTAGTCTTAACTTGGCCAGTACAGCTTCGTGATCCGAGAAGCTGAACTTTTGTCCAGGTACACGTTCCGGAAATGGTAGCGTATATTCGACAATCTCCGCGTTGATATTATCTGCACCCCTCACAAATATGTGGTCAATCCGTATTCCTAGCGGGTTTTTGGCCAGCGCACGTTTCGATGTGTACGAGTTCCTGCCACACTCGTTGGTTCGAAACGAGTCCGAGGCACAGCTGTCTGTCATCTTAGAGGTATAGAGCAGCACCTTATACGAAATGTCCTGAGGTTGTGTATTGAGATCACCTGCCAATATTTGGAGCACCGAGTTGCCGCGCGTAGCCTCTATAAACTGGGCCGTGTCAAAGGCCTGAATTACACGATGGGTCTTGTATTCATCATTGTCGTTGTCATATTCTGCATGCAGATGCGCGTTATAGAGGTGAACGATTTGCTCGCCGAACAGGATGCGACAGAGACCCACACCCTTGCCACCAAACCAATCGGCGTGTTGGATTCGATGGAAGTAGCCGTTGACTGACCAGGCGTGGAACAGCGTGCCCAAAATTGGATACTTGGAGAGCACCAGCAGACCGGCGCCCATGACACCGCTGTGAAAGTAGTGGGAATACGGCAACACACTTAATGTGCCCTGCTGCAGTTGCTCGCTGTCTTGCTGTGACCATACCTCCTGCAGGGACACGATGTCGTACTGGCCGCTGCTAAGCTCCTTACATATGGCTTCGATACGTGGCGCACGGTCACGGGAGACAAATGGAATACCCCTGTAATTATAATTTGGTTTTGGCAACGCAAGCAAACGCCAAGGCGAATTAGTTCCAAGCGCGTGACCAAATTGAGTAAACATATAAAAACTCAACGCACCAAATGTTCAACGTTAGAATTTTCAGCTCCAGCAGCAGCATTGTGATATGTTTCGTGTTTTTGACTCCCTCATTAGCTATCACTGGCGTACAATGTACGCGCGCAGCGCCGATAAGATTAAATTTTGTTTCTAAACAATCAACTAAGCATTTCTGCTGTAAGCAATTTATTGCTCGCTTGAAGGTGGCTGCGCGCAATTTTGACCGCAATGAAGTTGGCCGCGCGCAGATTTTGCTCACGTGAAGTTGGCTGTGCGCGAATTTGGGTCCAAAAACAACAAAGAGCACATGAAACGAGTAAAATAATTTAAAATTAGTTTGGAAATAAAATCAAAAAGACAATAAATATGGCACGTACCGAGCTGGAAATAAAGAAGCAAAAGCGTAAGGCCAAAAAACGTAAACATGACACTCAGCCGGCGGGAAGCGATGACGAAGTGGCCAACAAAAGTTTAATTGTGGAGGAGCAGGTGGCAGCGGAAGCCCAAGCGAAGGAACACCTGCCCCGTAAAAGTAAGCAAAAATTCTTTAGTGAATACAAAAGTATAATTCAACATGTGACTGATTGCAGCCAAGGCGTCCAAGCGCAAGATCCAGGCGGAGCAGGGTGCCATCAAAGAGAAACGCAGCAAACAAACAGATGATATTAAGGAAGACGCCGCCACAGATGATGAGGTAGATGATATGCCCACAGCGGAGCAACTGGAGCAGGCGAACAAGCCCGAGAACTCGAATGCCATTGTTACGGTACGTCAAAAGAAAAAACAGAAACACTTGCAGCGGCTAGAAACACAAAAAGATCAGAGTGCCGACAAAGAAGCCAAGCGCAATGAGGAGTACCTACGCAAGTGGCGGGACAGTAGACAAGATTGGAAGTTTGAAAAATTGCGACAAATTTCCATACAACAAACGGCCTTCGATGAGAAAAAGGTTAGTGCAGATATTTGGCCCATTGCTTTGGAGTATCTGGCGGGCTCAAAAGGCGCGGCGAAGGCAATGATCAGCAAACTGGCCGAGGATGCCATACAGGAAATGGACAAACAGTGTGAACAGCTGGAGGAGGAAGCGGAGCGTCAGGCGATTGTGGAATCAACACGTTATCAGCGCGCTCGCAACCTGTTGCAAAGTTTCGATTAAGCGTTAGTTTTTAGTTTTAATATGAATAGCAAAAAAACCTTCTTGTTAATATTTAGGGTTTAATAAACAAGAGAAAAAACAAGTTATTTATAAATCCACATATGCCAATAGCTTATCCAGATGCTCAATGCGTTGTCGGAGCAGCTGCTGCTGCTCTTCCTTGTGCTCCTCCAGTTTATCAAGCATAAAATGCTGCATAAACAAGCGGATGCTTTGCTTGAACTGCTGTAGCTTGGAGTTCTTCGCAATGCGCTCAAACGCCTGGTAGAGTTGGCTCTCCTCGTTGGACAGCAGCAGACGCGTCATAATTTCGCGCATAAAATAGAAACTAAGTTTGTGCAATTGCATAAAGTCCACAACCTTCAGCACAGACAACTGAAGACCCGAGGCTAATATTAGCTGCTGCAGGAAGCTAGCAAAGTTGCGTATTTGAATTTTCGATAGAGTTTCAATGTCATTGATGCGATCCCAGCTGGCAAATTGAAAGGCGAGCTGAAATTTGCGATTATACTGACAGAATTTCAATGCCAGATGCGCATAGTATGGATTCGCCCGGCGTTCATTGAGTGCACAATGTATAATCACGTAGGCAACAGTTCGCTGATCTTTCAGAGACAGATGTAAAATTTTTTCGAATGCATCTACATAGTCGGCGGCGCTCATGATAATGCAAAATATGTTACGTCTCTCGGCGGTGTTCATATGTTGTTTCTTGGCTAGCTCTAAGAGCTTTTCCGAGTATCGCTCGCTTCCTGGTTGCTGGCGCTGTTTCTCTTGTTCCGCCTGAGCGGTGCCCATCTCAGCCAGATTGCCCGCCCATGCTGAGCCCACAATCCACCATTTTCCTAGCTTATCGGCACGCAGCAGATCTTCCAAGGTGATGTTCAGTGTAACAACATAACGTTCATTTCTAAGCATTCCCTTAAGCCGCTTGCGTAGGGTCTCCGCCAGTTCCGGATCATACTGCGGCAACTTGCTCATGTTGTTGTTTTTCACAGCGTTCAGAATGTCTACCATGAAACGCAGACGCGGATTCTCCTTTAACTCTAGCGGAGATGCAGCAATTTGCGACTGCACGTTTTGCATCATATTCTTAAAGGCCAGGGGATCATCTTTGCGCAGACGAAATCCAACCGTTTGGAAAATCAGCAACAGGCATTCAACTGATTTCTCGCATAGGCTCCCCGCAAGTCGCGCAATCAGCTCCAGCAATAATCGCTGCTCGTAGATCTTAAAGATGTACATGTAACACAGGATTAGAACCAGATTGTTCAGTCGCTTATCCTCCACTTCCAGTGCGTTAATCTCCTTCACATAGCCATCAAATTGTTCAACGAAGGTTTGCAGGAAATGCGCGCCTATCTCGCTGCCAATGTGCGCATGCAGAAACGCCAGCAGAACCATATGCTCCTGAACCATGCGCTCGTTGGCGCGAGCACGTCCCAGCAGCGCCTCTTGTAGAAGTTTTGTCAGCGTCTCGTTCATGTTATATCGGGAATTCTTCATGTAGAGCGTCTCGATGCCACTAGAAATCTTATGAAGATTCGCCTCGGACAGTCGATTGAGCAAACCCTTGCATTGTTTTTGCAAGCGTGCCAGTTGCTCCGCCTGTTTGGCATTGGTACCTTCGCTGGCAGCGAGTAGAGCCCGTTGATGTGGTGGTATGTACTTCTGGCCGGAACCTTTAGACTCCACCGCAGCATTATCGGGCACAATATTGCCATCGGCATCGCGACGACGACCATAAATGTCCTCCTTGTCTGTAAAAATTGATTCAATTGAATTGGTAAAACAATTATTAGACGCCACAATGCATACATTTTGTTTGTTCTGTGCTCTGCTCGCTTTCACTATTAGATTCTAATCCATCATCGTCTTCGTCCTCTTCCATGTCACTTTGATCCGACGGCACTTCGTTTTCGTCCACATTGCTGTCTGCCTCTGACATTGGTTCATCTTCGTCGCTCCACATGCCTGCTTCCTCCTTCTCCTGCTGCTCCTTTAGTTCCTTTTTCCGACGCTGCTTTTCATCCCATTTTTGTTTCTCTTCCTCATCGTCAAGCACAAAGTCGAGCAGATAGTCCAATCCGTCGTTGAACATTTTTCGAACCAGACGATTTTTGTCCTTGCTCTTGTTTAGCTTCAACTTTTTTTCCAGCTTGGCGATTTCCTTATCCTCCTCCACGTTTTCTAACTTCAGCTGCTTCATTCGCTGCTTGCGCGATTTGCTAAGCAGCTCCTTTTGCTGGCGCAGCTCACGCTTGCGTACTTCCACTTCGTCGGCTCGCTGTATCCCGGCGTGTTTCTTGGGCTTCTTGCCCAGGGGCTCGTATGTTTCCACCTTACGTTCTGATGGCAGGCGAGCATTCACCTCCGCATCACTAAAATCGGAGGCTATAGATTCATCATCATCCTCATTTACTTCGCCCGCCAGCAGCTCTTCTCGAGGCATGTCCTCGGGCTTCAGCTGTTTCTTTTTTGGTTTTTTCTTCTTTTTGCTTGTCTGTGTCGCTGCTAAAGCCGCAGCCGCTGCTGCCTCTGCTACGCGCTGCGCTCCATTTGTTTTGTCCGCATGGTAGATTCTCTTGTTGTTCTTCTTTGTCTCCTGTTTCAGCTTGCGCTGCTCCTTGCGGCTGAGCGGCTTCTTAGGTGCGTGCGCTGCTTTCTTTTTTAGTTTCACCATGTCAACAAATTCAACTTTCAAATCGTTTTGTTAGTGTTGCCAAATCAGCTGTGCATAACACGTGTGTGGGATATTTTAGTGCATTTTTGGTGTGGAGCTTGATACATTTTCCAGGCAAAACAGCTGAGTCGGTTTTGTTGTTCGAGTATAGTTTTTTTTTTTACTGCTATTTTGTATTAACACATAATCTTTAAATTATGTCTACGCGCTGGTATCCTATTTATCAACGTGGCAATCCGCAGTTGCGCGTCTTTTTGCCCAACTTTTGGATGAAATTGGTGCGACCCACAGAGGAGCAGCCGGCAAATGTTGTTACCTTTGCCGTGTCCACGGAAATGACCAAGCACGATGTGAAAAACTATTTGGAAAAGATTTACAAAGTGCCCGTGGTGGATGTACGTACACGTATTGCGCTAGGCGAGACCAAACGTGATCAAACCTACGGCTATGTGACCAAAAAAGACGACGTCAAATTGGCTTATGTAACCATGGTGAGTGGACTGGCTCAACTAAAGCTAAAAACTTGACTAATGGATAATTTTGGATCTTACAGCCGAAAACCGAAGCATTTACTTTTCCGGATCTATTTGCGAATAAAGCGGAACAACAGGAGAAGGAGGAAAAGTCAATGGATGAGTCGAAGGCGGGCTTTCGCAAGTTTCTGGAGCGCAACAAGAAGCGACCCGGCACACCGGGCTGGTACTCTATTTAGACTTTTAAGTTATATGTAGCTTAAGTTGTTTGCAACGAATAATAACATTTATTTTGAAAAACCCATATTGGCTGAGTAAAACAAGTTTAAAGCTTAGAAACAATTATGATGCCGAAGGGAGCTCTTCTATTGCTTCGCATTTTTAACCGCCGTGGCTACCCAGGCGCGTATCTTGTCCTCATCCTGGAGTCCGACCATGCGTTGCACTTCTTTGCCGTTCTGCATAACCATGAGCACGGGAACGGCACCCACATCGTAATCCAGCGCTAGCTCACTGTGTTCGTCAATGTCCACTTTTGCCAGTTTAATGGAGCCCGCCTGTTCGCCCACAATGGTCTCGATGCGCGGCGTTAGAAGCTTGCAAGGATTGCACCAACTAAATATGGAAATGTTGGTAAAGTAGTCTTTTGACTAAAATTTTCTTTACTAACGTTGCAAAAAAGTCCACTATCACGGGCTCCTGACTGTTCTTCACCTTCTTGTCAAAGTCCTCTGAGCTCTGTACTTTGAAGATTTCCCTTTTCTTCGGCGTCACTGAGAATGCACGCTGATTGCTACGCACCTGTCGCGTCACATTTCCGAGCACATTAACTATTTGTCTTTGCATTTTGCAATTTGTTCAGTTTATAAGTTACGAGAGTTTATAATATAGTTGACGGCGCTGCTTAAAGTGCCAGCGTTACCAACAGTTACGAAACAGCTGTTTTATTTTTGTTGTTGACCAGTGTGACCACTAGAGGTTAATTTGGAAATGCTTGGCAATCATACACGAAGGTTAAAAACGTTCTTGGAAACGTCGGAGCTTTAATGCTCTTGCAGATTCACTATATCAATACACTAAACCACCATACACACCAACATTTTGATTATTTACAATTTTTATTTTGATACTGTCGACAAGTTTGTTGGTATTCATCAAAACTGCTTTGAAAAGTATATCCTATTGTTAAACAATCAAGTCTTCATAGATCACTACACATTGCATGTGAAATTTAAAAGACCTTAACTAGAGTATAAAATACCAAAGTTTCTATTTACAAGAATACCTTAAAGGTACAAACTTTTTTAAATACCAACACACGTACACACACATACAAGCACGCACGGACACATACTGTAACACGTATTCGCGTCAGGCATAAAAAATTGTAATATCAAAAGTTCAATTGATTTGATTGTACACTAAAATCAAATTTCAAGTGTTAGTTCTGCTTCGACGGTTTGTTTGACAGTTTTCGAAACGTGTGCAAGTGCAAATTGTGCGTTTCTACCACGGAACACGGTAAACGGATTCTGAGTGCAATTCGCGAGCACCTCTTGAACTGCGCAAATGGCCCATAGCTATAGAAAAGTGGAAGCAGCAGACGACGAAAAGTAGAGGACAACAAACGTAGCAAAATGGATGATCTCTCGCAGGGCGACATCTGTCGCGTCTGCCGCTGCGAGGCGTTGCCAGATCGCCCGCTCTTCTATCCCTGCATTTGCACGGGCAGCATCAAATATATACATCAGGATTGCCTAATGCAATGGATGCGTTATTCGCACAAGGAATACTGTGAGCTGTGCGGCCATCGTTTCAGCTTTCAGCCCATCTATGCACCGGATATGCCGCGCGTTCTACCTTTGCGCGATGTGCTTATGGGTCTGATGTCTGCGGTGTTGGAGGGCGCGCGCTGCTGGCTGCACTACTCTCTGGTGGGCATGGCCTGGTTTGGTGTGGTGCCTCTGTCGGCTTATCGTACCTATCGCTATCTATTTCGGGCCAGCTCATTTGATATGATTCTCTCGCTGCCGTTTGACATCTTCTCCATGGAGAATCTGGCTGCGGATGCATTTCGTGGCTGTTTTGTGGTGACTTGTACGCTACTGTGTTTTATTGGCTTGGTCTGGTTGCGTGAGCAAATTCTCCATGGTGGCGGACCCGATTGGCTTGAGCGTGACGAGGCGCCGGCTGCAGCAGCGGCCGCTCCAGCTGTGCCTGCTGTTGCCGCAGCGGCCGCACCGCCAGTTGCCCGAGTTGCGCCAGTTGCGCGAGCTGAACCAGATGCAGCTCAAGATGATAATAACAATGGTAACGCGCCGCAGGATGTGCCAATGGATAATGCTGCACCAGCAGTGGCCGATCCGGCTGACAACGAAGGCGATGCTCCACAGGCAGCGGCTGTGCCCGCTGCAGGTGCCGCCGCCGCTGGCGGCATCGCTGCGGCTGCTGACGCAGACAACGATGAACAGAACTGGAATCCCATGGACTGGGATCGTGCCGCCGAAGACCTAACCTGGGAGCGTTTACTGGGCTTGGATGGTTCACTGGTCTTCTTGGAGCATGTTTTCTGGATAATCTCGCTAAACACCATGTTCATCTTTACGTTCGCCTTTTGCCCGTATTGCGTGGGCAACTTTATACTGAGCTCCATGGATCTGTTGCAGCCGGAAAAGCCATTGCTGCATTTCCATGGACTGATTACTACGCTCTTTGGGTACTGTTGCATAGGACTGACGCTGGTAGTGCTGCACTTCTTCGCAGGCGTCTTTCGGCTGCGTCGCATCTGCTGGTTCATTGGACTCTGTTACATTGTGGTGAAGGTATCGCTGCTGTCTGTGGTGGAGATAGGCGTATTGCCGCTTATCTGCGGCTGGTGGCTGGATATATGCTCGCTGCCGTTGCTCGATGCCAGTCTTAAAGATCGCAAGGCCAGCTTTAAGGCTGCACCGGGAACATCGCTCTTTGTCCATTGGATGTTTGGCATGGTGTATGTCTATTATTTTGCCGCCTTTATATCGTTGCTGCGTGAGGTGCTGCGTCCTGGTGTCCTTTGGATCTTCCGCAATGTCAATGATCCCGATTTCAGTCCCATACAAGAAATGATTCATGTGCCCATTGTGCGTCATATCCGCCGTTTGGTGGCATCGGCGATGATCTTTGGCTTTGCCGTACTGTTAATGCTCTGGCTGCCAATACGTATACTGCAAGTGCTGTGGCCCAATTTCTTGCCCTATGCCCTAAGTGGTGACTCGGAGGTAAATGATCTGAGCTTGCAGCTGCTTTTGCTACAGGTGGGTAATACATCCTTGCATTGTTGTGGTTCCTATTTCTAATGAAACTTCTTTGCCTTGTTAGATTGTGCTGCCCGGCTTCTTCGAGCAAACCCAAACTCGCATATGGCTGAAGGGATTGCTGCGTATCTGGTGCACGGCTGTGGCCTGGCTGCTTGGCATACGAAGCTATTTGCTGCCCGCTCCAGAGCCACAAGCTGCCGAGGAGGCCGAGCCAGCAGCTCAGCCAGCGGAAGCGCCTGGAGTTGCCGCTGCACCACCGCCACCAGCTCCAGTGCTGGAGCCAGCCCAACCACGGAATTTGGCTGCCGCTCACCAGGCTATGATGCAACGTAATGTGCCCATCGGCTTTCAACCATACGAACGTCCCACATTCTTTTCCCTGCGCCTCTGCGCGCTCCTCTCGCTGATGTGCTTGTCCATTGTGTGCGCTGCCATGTTGATACTAACTGTGCCCGTCTACATAGGCCGTCGTCTGATGATGCTTTGGACGGGTCAGCCGGGTGACAAGGCTCCTCCGCAATTGGCGGCTGACTTGCCCGCAGCAGATCCAGAGGCGGCACGCAAAAACGAGCGTCTGCTACGTCCCCATGAACTCTACACGGCCGAAATTGGCGGTTATCTATGTTGGATTGTGTCACGTGGCATTGCTGTGGTGGTGACCCTACTGCCCCAGGGACGCGCCGCAATTGTCAACAAGCTGAAGCATTGGGCGCGCGTCGCACTACAATATGCGCTACCAGTTTTGACGCTGCTGGGCATATTTGTGCTGGTGCCGTTGCTGTTTGGACTACTGCTGGAGCTGGTGATGGTCATACCGTTGCGTGTGAAACCGCGTAAGACACCTATACACTTTCTGTGGCAGGATTGGGCACTGGGCGTGCTGTATACCAAAATCGCCATAGCACTCACTCTAATGGGACCGGATTGGCATCTAAAGCGAGCACTGGAACGCGCCTATACGGATGGACTGCGAGATTTCGATTTAAAATTTGTAATGCGTGATCTGGCTGTGCCGGTGGTGACAACATTTGGCCTCGCCCTGGCTATACCCTATGTTATTGGCCATTCGATATTGCCCATATTCTTTACCGATCCGTACACACGCCTGGACATCTCTCTGATGGTTTATCCTATAAGCTTCATTGTTGTGGGCAGCGTTTGTTTTGTGCTCTTCCAGATTAAGCAATTGAAGAAACTGTATCTGTCGATCAAGGTGGACAAGTATCTGGTGGGTCAGCGTCTGGTCAACTATGAGCATCGCAAGAAGCAGCAGGCGCAACAAGCGGCTGCTGCCCAAGAACTTAAGGCACGCCAAGAAGCCGAGGAGGCGCAGCTGGCGCAAGCACAAGAAGGCGGCGGAGTCGGTTTTGGAGTGCGCAACGAGGAACCATTGCTGGAATTAGCGGAGCAGGCGGCTCTGCATGCGCGTCGGCGTCGAGAGCAGTTGCCACGCCCACTGATTGTTGATGCCAACGAGGAGCTGCTCTAGGGTTACGTCTACTTTATGTGCATGTTTATAATGGAGTCTCTGCTGATATATCTTTGTTTAATTCATACGCTACAGCCAGAGCAAGCCATATGAGTTGATGCGACGCCCACACAACCGAAGACCCAAACCGAAGTAGCTTGGGCAGGCGCTTCAAATTTTCAAGTTAAATAATTCTTCGTTTTCTTGCTTTAGTTCTTTTTTATATGTTAGCCACAATTGTTTGTTAAATTTTTTCGCTTATAGGTCCTAAACTGTATGATAATTTAAGCCAGCCAGATATAGCCAATAATTACCATCTGATTAACACTTCACTTATTTATCCTATATATATATATATAAAAAACCATAAACACTTTTCGATTGCTTTGTAAAATGTTTTGGAAAAAATGAGAAAAGTAAAACACTAAATCCAAGTATGGCTTGATAATATATTTAAAATGATAATGGCGATCCGTAAATATATATAAATATATACATAAATATATATATATATATGTATATGTATGTATGTATGTATGTATGTATATGTAGAGAGATTACCTTGTATTAGAATCTGATACGATATATGTATGTACGAAAATTATTTCCCGATCATAACAAGAATATTTCAAATAAAAACTTGGTAAATGTGGTGAAAACTTTTGAGTAGCTTTACGAACTTGTAAAAATTATATATGTATACATTTATTATTAATAAATAAATTTAACTTTAAATTTCAATGGAAATAAAAACAATTGTCTATATTTTGTACGACAAAGGAGTTAGAGAAGCTTCTCCCGGGAAATGCATGAAAAAAAGCGGGGCTTTTTCCTAGTAATGTAATTATATAAAACAAATAACTTTTTCTACATTGTTCTCAGGGGGAAAATGGAGTATAGGATTTTACAGATAAATGTTCTGCAAATGACACAATTTTAAATACACTGCATTCGATATGATTGAACGGCTTTTACACAGCGAATAGAGCATTGCGCGGTCGATGGCAGTGTAAAATTTTAGCGAATTGAAAGCATGCAGTTAAATTATAATTCCTGGAAATTTCTTAATGTGAAATCGCGACTGGATAGCCAGTGTACAGCGTGATACCAAAACAACTTATTCAATTGCAGACCAATTAATTGAATGATCATTACACAATTGCTGTGCAATTCTTTGGGCGCATCCTTCTGCCTGCCGTTGGCCTCTTGATTATGTCCATTTGTTTGGTCAGAATAGCGCCTGGCTTTTCCACGAAAATGCATCAAGCTGTGCTCGTTATACGACCGGCGACTCACCATTGACAATTACAATTACGCTTGGAACAACATCGATACAGTGCATGTTACAGGCCTGAGCTGCACCACAGGCCAGCGTATTGATAGCTTAAATTGAGCGCATAATAAGATGTTCAACAATTTCTGTTATTTTCTTCCTTTCATATTGCCTGCAGCGCAAATTGCATGACTTGTTTGCAATGATAATATATCAAGTTAATTTTCAAAACTTACAAAAACACATTTAAAGATGAGGAATAAGCTGATATATAAATCATTAAAATATATCACCTTTTGTATTTTCTCTAGCTCGAGGTCAATGGATTTTATTATTTTTGTATAAATAACAAGCACCAAAGAGTGAGCAGGTTGTCTGCATAGCTTTTGCACGATTTTTGTTGTGCCTAGTTCACTTATTGCGTTATTTGGTACTTACAATTCTCAACAAGTTAAAGCTTCAAAAGGACTATAACCAAAGTGCGCCACGTTCAGCTTTGTATTAATGTTTTTTTTTTTAAAGAAATATACGTCTTTTATGTTAACCAATTTATTTGAGTCTAATTGCAGGCACCGCCTACTACTTGCCTAGCCGTTTCGGTGTTACAGTAATCTCTGCAATGTCAGACCAGCTTAAAGCCCTCAGCTCATAAATCTACCCAACTCCATGGCGTGCCATTCGGCTATACACCCACAACTCCATGCACCTTTGTGTCCATTTATTTTTAAGTTGGCCATTGCCCATGGCTGGACTTATATAATTTTTAAGCCGGTCCGACCGGCATGCGTGTTTTATTGGCCATAATCGAGCAACGAGCTGGCAGCGGTCTAGCACTTAGCACTCCTTAAGTTTAACAACTTCACGCTCAATCAGCGACGACAACGTTGGGCTATAAAAACGTAGCAGCTCGAACTTCAAACTTTAACCCAAGGCAGGCCATAAAATATAGCAGCTGCACTGAATGAGACCATGCCCACAAAATGCTGAAAACTTGCAAAAACAAAAACAAAACATAAAACAGGAAGAACAGGTAAAGCCTCAAAGGGAACGAGGGTGAAAAAAACATGAAATAAAAGCCACAACTATTTGAACCGTGTTTTGTTGACATAAAATACCAAAAGTCACCAAGGGTACAAACCGCTGCGGTTCCTGCCTTAACCCTAAGCAAAAAAAAAAGAAGCGTTTGGGGCCTAAATATCGGTCGGTTGTCCTTTGTTACGGAAGGGTTTTCTTTGTTTTTTTTTTTTTTTAAGATAATAAAACATAGGAAAGGGACATAGGGAACAGCTGTTCACTTGAAGCTATATATATGTATACATTTATTATAAAATTAAAATATATTTAAAGTAGCTTACTAATTAAGTTCTTTTTCAAAATGTATTCGAATATGCACTTTTGTATATTCAAACATTTTAGTTATATAGAAAGTGTATTCGCTAGTCTCCAACCTATCCCGCTTTTGATTCATTTTTGTTACCCTCATCATTTTGTTTTGCTATTGTGGTTAACTATTTGGGCTGCTGGGGCAGACATTTGCTTCCCTTCAGCTCGGTGCTAAAGCTTTTACACAAATTATTTTATTTTGCGTTGAAGAAATAATAAAATATGGCAACGCAAATCAAAGGCCACTTCAATGAGCCCAACCAAATATAAAAAACAAAAACAAGCAGCTGCAAAAAGATATAATAAAACACTTTTTGCCGTGGCAACGCGCAATTTTTGACTAGAGTTGGCCAAGTGCTGTGTATAACAATGGCAGCAGGAGCTGCTCTGTGGGTTCATAGAATAAGTGCCAGGACGCGATGTGAGAGCGCGTGTTATACAAAACCAGCTCAGTACAACAACAACAATAACAAAAACAACAATATGACTAGCTGCTTCCTTTATAGCTAATTTTAGACAATTAATGAAGTGTTGGCTACGCTTGATAAGAGCTTCAAGTGAACCAGCAGTAAACAACGCAACAACATAAACATCAGCAACAACAACAACAACAACCAATCATAACAACAGCAACTAAGTCATGCAAATGAGCGACAGTTAAGGCAGCTGCCTGGCACATATATAACGCATACGCCGTGTCTGCCCCTGGTGATGTGTGGCGTCTGATAAGGACGTAAATCCAGCGGGCGACTGCGACAGGGGCGAAGAAGTTATCACCATTGACATATGAACTTGTTAATTTTGAGCAGGAATATCCAAAAAAAAAAAAGGAAAGAATGAAAATAAATAAAAAGGGACCAGAGAGCTGCTAACATGTGAGGGTGAAGAGACTTGGCAGTTTGGTTTTTGGAATGTAAAACTTCAGCGTTTTGCTTAAGGCTGTGCAAAAGTTTGTGTAAACTTTAAGCAGGGATCACATCAAAGCCATCTCTCTGTATCTTGTACACAATAAATTGCGTAAAAATGAATTTTAGTTGTGGGTTTACATATGGAGCAGCAGACATAAGAAAACAACTTTAATTCTATCACATTTGCTCCCCTTTATCAAGAAATTGGCAATAGATTAGCAGCATTTCGCTGTCGACATTTGTGTTTTCTGTATTCCATTAAATGCACTCGCCATATTTATGGGCTGACACATTTGTGTTAAGTTTAATGAAACTAATTAAATATTCACTGCATTATTTAGATGGACACACATTTCGCCTGGCACCAACAACAATCCACAGTTCCAAATGTTCGTCTGTATTTCAAACGTTATTTAAATGAATTTTCGGTGACAGTTGCCAAAACAGTGGTGCATGAATTGATTGAATTTTATTTGCGTAGCTATTAAAAATGTCTGATGCAGCTCTATTTGAGCCCAAACCAATAGCCCATATTTGATATAGGGTTATGCGGCCTTTGTGGCATTTTACGTTTCAATGCAAATACAAGAACAATTTTAACGCCTGGCTGCCCTTTTGACTGTGGCATCCAGCCAAGAAGTCGGGCTATAAGCTGTAGAACTTTAAGCTACCAAATCCGCTTACTGCTAGCAAGTGATAAATTTTGTATATACGTATAGAGAGAATTTTTGTTTGTTGTTACGCGAGGCGTATACGTAATTTAAGTGCATTTTGTATGCATGGAGCCAGTCAGATGCATATTTCTTAAAAATGAATTATGCGATCGCAAATGCTATTTTATTTTATTTATGATGACTTTACTTGGCTGAAGTCCAAGGCGTTGTACTAAGTCTAGATGGCCATTGTGTGCGTATAAAATCAATTTGTGATATGCAAAATTCAATTGAGTCTATTTCAATAAAACGTTTATCCAATGATTTATATGTTTGTTAAATTGGTTTTAAAAGCTGATGACACTTCTCTTATGCATATTTTACCAACTGTTTGTTTCTGGTGCTGATATATCATTTGCATTGATAGGCTTCGTTTAAGAAACAGTTTAAGCAACTATCGAGTGATAAAATAAAACATAGTTGTCGACTGGAGTAAAAAATAGTCAATAATTTTCTGTTACCATGCCTTATTTATATTAAAATAAGCATGAATAATCCACTTAGCAATCTTATGGAGCCTATTTGCCAGCTCAACCGAATCATATGAAACCGAAGCAAGTTTATGCCCATATGTCAGCTAGTTTTAGTGTTTGGCAACTGAAATAAAATAGTGTTTATGGATATGTTCGATCAATTAGCCATAAAAAACTGAATATACAGTGTTAACAGCTGTAGCTGACAGTTAATCAAAGTCCAAGCATATAAAATGCAGCATATTCCCTGAAAAGAGGCGCACTAATGACAGCAAGATGCCGCGAGACAGAGAGAGAGAGAGGCTATCTTGTCCTTATGTCAATCATACGCAGAGTGTGACAGTTCAAGCAATTGAAGCGAAAAGCAATGCCATATGGCATATGAGCATTGGTCGTTCATGTGTTAGTGCCGCTGCTGTAAAAGTTTTTGCATGATGACAGCACAAGGGACGGCTGGAGTAGGAGCTGGCTGACGGTAGGCGTTGCCTGGACATCCAGAGAAACTGCTCGAACCGCCCACTTGAAGGCGATTGCTTTCGAAAATTACTGAGCGTCTGTTTCTGTTATGTGCCACACAAATTCTAAAGCATTCATTTTGCCTACAGCTGAAAGCACAATTTTCTGCGTTATTTTTGTTTTCTTATACCCTAACTGAGCATTTACTTGTATATATTAATTCCATCATTTTTGAACAAACCTTACTACTATGTTAGCGTATTTCATGTGCGGCATGGCTAGAGTAATTTTTCCATTTATTTTTTTTTTGACAACTTTGGCAGTCAGTTGTCACATTTTGTTGTTGCTTAGCTCTTTGCGTTTCGTTCGGAACAAATAGAAAAGTTTTCAATGTTTCTAACTGAAATTGTTTTGTGGTTTAACATGACACCGCGACTGCGAGCAGCTCCCACTGGCCTTGTGTCTTGGCCAATCTAAAGTGGTTTATGTGCCAGTGACTATCAAAATGTGTGGCAACTGAAAGTTAAATCCTTACTGACGCAAGTAAGCACACACACAGGCACACATTGAGAGGGACGAGCAAAACATGTGACAATTTTGCAGTTGAAAGAACAGGACTACGAGGTAGGCCTTTTTGGCCGTACCAAGAGGGATAAACAAATAAAAGTGGGCGTGGCCAGAATATTTAACGACATCTTGCGAGGAAAGCGTGCAGGCCAGATGAGCTTAGCTTCTAGTTAACAAAGTACGATATCTTATATATATATAGGGTAGTTTTCATTCCTGGTCTGCAAGAACCAAAATAATGTTCGCGAAGGGTAATAAAATAAATTAATTTTTAATTTATAAGTGCTAGCTTCTCTTTCGTATAGATATACATTTAGAAAAAGATATATAGTTCCCTTCGTGATATTTATACCAAATATTAAAGTTTTACCCCAGCCTCGAAACTGTTCAGATCAAACTTGGCTTATATCCTTTATAATATCAAACGTGACATGGCACCAGCCCAATATACCCCGTTTGCCCGTTGAGAAAAGGCAAAAACAAGCAAATAATAATATAAGTCAAAGGTCTTGATTTGTATTGGGCAAAGTTGAAAGTTGACGCATTTTGAGCGCGTGCTCAAGTGGAGGCAACGATTCTTGGGCCAGTTGGACAGAGCGGAAAGCATTTGCGGGGTGGATAACGAAGAGTTGTGTATGCTGAAAATAAATGAATATAAATTGTGACACACATGTGAGCTGTTTGCGTCTTACTGTAAACTTACAAGCCACAATTAGACCACACAATCGCACGACAAACAACTTACTTGTCCCACTGTAAATGCCGAAAATTAAGATATGACGAAGCTGCTCTGTGGTAAATCTAAATCGTTGAAGCGCTTGACGAACTTTTCGCTGGTTGCAAATGACATGCAACAAACTGACATGCAACACATTAGGAAACATTTGCCGCTAATGACTGACGCTGGGAAAAAGTTCGCCTTTACAATTTTCATGTACGGCTGTCAAGCACAATATTAAACTCCAGCTCATAGAGGATAAATTCACTGAGCGCTATAATCAAAATTAAACTAATTAACAGCACCGCACAGTTAGCTGCGTAATTTGCGCATAATTAGATAAGCAAAGCAGCCAGCCTGGGGGCTTCAGTAGGGCCGAAATACTCTCCCATTTTCGTGGCACTTCCCATACTACCAACCCCTAAGCGGTCATATGATATGTGTGCATCATAAGCCGAAAACTGTTAGCATTTTAAAACGCTCGGAGTGGCATTTCGGACAGCTAAAAACACA